TATAAATAAACATAAAATGAATGAATTAAAAATATAGTTTGTTTGAAGTTCCTCACCAAAAGATCCGGTATTTCCTCATATTGGTTGGGTGCTTCAAGATCTTGCTGAAGGTTATCTATAACCAATATGGAAGGACGTTTGAAGTTGAACACCACCACAAAGTAATGCATGTCTCTAAACGATGGGAAAGAATAACTGCAATTGGTAATTGTGTGTTAAATGTAATATCTAAAAAGCACATAATAAATGTGGTTACTACTTATTAACTCACCAAGTCAATTGATTTGAAGGTAACCATGTTTGCATCACCTCCAACCGCTGCCAATAGATTGTCAACAAACATATCCAGCTTCACATCCTCCTTTATTTTTGAATCAAGCATTGCTGTCGACTGGTTCAACAATTTTGTTGTAAGATAATTTAAAAGTTTGTATCACAACATGTTCAAAATGCTTAATATCACAACATGTTCAAAATCACAACATGTTCAAAATGCTTTTGGGTTTGATGAATAAAATAAAAAAGATTGAGTTCAACACTTGCTACTGGATCCACATCCTTTTGGGTCAACTACGGAAAAATAGCTAAAAGCACATCATCTTATCTATGCTAGTTCTGGAACATGTTTTAGCAAAAACTATGCTAGTTAAATATCATGAGATTGAGAACCACTCCTTGCCACTAGTGGTACTTCAACTAATGATAGGGAAGTAGGGAATGCTTTTTCGAAGCAGATTTCTTATGTAGGACTAATTGATCGGTTGCCACTTCTCTTGTTATCAAGACTTGAGATCATTCAGCCTCCATGTACGTTAGGTTACGGTCACTTCATGTTAACTGGTAGAAATGATGAAGTAAAGTGAACCATTTCTTTGATTTGCATGAACTGTGATAACAACACAGAAAAATGCATCTTCCTCAAGGCTATGGATGGTAGGACATTCAAATTGCTGATCGTGGATATAATAAGTGTGGAACCCACAAAAACTCTGCTGGGTGGTTATTGATTTCCCTCTACCTGGAATAACTAGAACTCTTAAACAATCGCTATTTCATATACGGGTTATTTTATGAAATCCTCACTGAGCTCAATTAGGCTTGCAAACTTGTGTTTCAAGTTCATAATGGATTTAAGAGCCAACTTCTGTCATTATAGGTCAAATTTATCCTAATCTTTGTGTTGCATTTCTCATACCACTTATAGCTTTTATACCATTTCTGTTTTGTGAATTCTTAAGCTCCAAATTTACTGTCGCTGGGAACGTATTTTTTGATAGCTCTGTCCATGACACTTGCAAAGATTTTGGGATCTGGTCCAAGGCTCCAAGCACCCGAATACACCATGAACCGTTGTCCAACTAGCTATTAGTACTTACCTCATCATTAATCAAGCAGGTTGCCTGAAAATATTCAAGAAAGTTGGTGGGCTGATGTGTACATTGGATGCAAGTAGGAAGTACTTATGATGATTGATACCTTAATCTCAGATTAAATTTTAGAATAGTTTGAGAGCTTACTTC